TTTTCCAATACAGGCAACAGTCCATTACCCTAAACCCTCAACCCTAAACCCCGTTTATCCAAGACAAGCAAGAGTCCATTCTATTCCTCCCCGAACCCCCGAAACCCTGCCAAAAGCCCAGACGCCCATGCAAAGCCAAAGAAAAGCAAACAAACACAAAAAACAGAAACCCCCCTAGAGCGGTTTCGGATTCCGAGTTTAGGGCTTCGGGGGTTAGGCCCTAAACCCTAAACCCCCAAACTCTAAACCCTAAACCCTACACTCTAAACTGTAAACCCTAAACCCTAAACCTCCAAACCCACCCTAAACCCTACAAGCCCCAAAGCGACCCTGGCGCCTGCGCAAAGCTGCCACCCTCAGTGGCCTGCGCATGCGACGCCTCCGCCTGTTGGAGCTCCTGGTGTTGTGGGGGGTTTCCTCTAAGGGCTCCATAGGGTTTAGGGTTTAGGGTTTAGGGTTGGGGTTTAGGTATGGGGCTGAGGGGTTCGATACGGGTTTCCTCTGGACGGTTTAGGGTTTGGGAGTTTAGGGTTTAGGGCTTGGGAGTTTGGGAGTTCAGGTTGAGGGTTTGGGGTTCACGGTTCTTGGAGGATGGGGCTACAAGTCCCCCAGTATGGGTTATGAGTATAGTTGCCCTACTTATAACCCCCACTTATAACTACCCATGAACCTCAAGTAGGGGCTCAGGGTTTAGGGTTCGGTGTTTCGGGTTTTGGATCTAGGGTTCAACGTTTACGATTACCTGGGCTTGGATATCGCTAGCCTAGCCATGTGTGTACAAACCTTGAAAAACACCCACCCGCCCAAAGAATAATATGGAGAAAGCAAGTTGTTTTCCATATTCCCACCTTGTGGTGAACTCCTGTTGACACCAACTACATACGGAAACTTGTCACAGGCAAATATCATCGTGCACGGCAGGTCATCGCGACATAGTCGCTTTGTGGGTGTCAGCCGGAATCGTGGTTGACATCTCTAGCTCAATCGGGTCAATCTTTTGAAATAGCTCATACACCAAGCCGATACGGCACTGTGACCTACAATTCGGTTGAAATCTCTAGTTCAGATGTAACAGCTTTCTTGATGTACACCCTGTATGGCGACTCAACCAGGCATCGCTAGATGGATACCCAGTGCATCTAAGACCAAACCCCTGCTTTGCTATGCAGGGCTGAGAGTTCCGGCCACCATACTGGGTTTAAGATATATAACCCCACCTAAACCCTAAACCCTAAACCCTAAACCCTAAACCCTAAACCCTGAACCCGAACCCTTACAGTAGCCCGATACCGCGGTTCAAGGTTTCGCCGAGAACACTGGTGGAGCGTTTGGGGCAAACCCTGAACCCTGGGCCCACTCCGGCGTTCAAAATATTTAGGGTTTTAGGGTTTAGGGACAAATAAACAACGGCTCAGGGTTTAGGAGTCTTTTTAAGGGGGATCTTCAAGGGTGCTTTAAAAGGGGTCAGGGTTTAGGTCCTTAGAGGGGGGGGGGCAACTTGGGGTTAAGCTAGGGTTTAGGGGATCCATGACCGAGCGAAGATGATATGGGAGTTTGAAGCGCCTTTGCTATGGGTCGCTGTCGTCCTTCTGGGGCGGCTCTTCATGGAGGAGTCTCCAGAGTTCGGGTTTAGGTTTAGGGTTTAGGGTTTCGGGCTCAGGGTCCAGGAACACCGAATAAGAAGGCTATCCCCGATGCGCACAGGCCGCAGCTGCCCCTCAATCTCAAAGCAGCCTTGACTATATTGCTGAGGCAGTCAGGAACCGTTACACCCTTGGTGTGGCCAAAACTGCCGCTGCTTCATCATGTCAAAACGAGAAAGCCAACCTGAAGAAGTGGTCCTCAATCGAAAACATCGGTCGTTGGCAGAGGTTGTTCAGAGCGTTCCTGGATAAGTCTGCAGCACAAGACAAGCTTGCAAGCAGGGACGGGTCTCTGTGGAGTCTTCAGAACGCTTGTCAGAACATTTGTTTAGGGTAGCCTTTTTACCCGGTATGAGCACCTGACAAGGGTGTAAGGAAGTGTAGTCCAGCAACCCCCTC